TTTATTTTAATAATATAAAATTAAAGAAAAATGATGGAGGATATATAAACTGTTATCAAATATTTATTAATAGAATCATTAAGTGTCATATATATATATTAGTCATTTATGGTAATTCCGTAGGTTTTATTTATGGAAATAAAATAAAATAGTAATTATATCTTAGGGAACAATCATTAAGTGTCATATATATATTAGTTATTTATAGTAATTCCGTAGGTTTTATTTATGGAAAGAAAATAACATATTATATCATTATATCATATAGTTTGACTAACTAATGTATCTAGCAACCTATAAAAATCCAATGTGGACTTACTTATTTTTCAATTGAATCTAATTGACTACCTAATTGAATGACACCTATGCATTGGAGCCTCTTTTAATTAATACAAAATTGAGGTTACATCTTTTCAAATGTTCCTCAATTAATATATAGGGGATCAGTAGTAATTAATGGCATCTTACCAAAAGGAAGCTTCTCTTATTTTCCCTTAAATACGGCGAGAACACTGAATCAATAAAAAAATAAAATAAAAATAGAGAGTGAACAGAATAATTATTCGTTTATTTAATTCAACGCGCCAGAGAGAGTAACCGAGCTAACGGAAGTATTTCTTTATTAATCAGAGTTCCTCACGAGGTGGCTCCTGTCGAGATTGGATCCATACACACACGACGTAGCCTTCTCCAACTTCACTCTCTCTTTCTCTCTCACACTCTCCACTTTCAAGTCGTAGACATAACATAGCTTTCTCTCTCTCGTCGAAGAAGAAGGATTGTAGTATCATCCCCATAGAAAAAAGACTCCAGATTTAATCGTTTTTCTTTATAAAACATAAAAACAGAGCGTATCTTCTGCTCCAAGAACGCGACTTCAAGCCTCCAAGGGGAGGGAGAACCCAACCAAAACAACAAGGTGTCGTGTCTTTTTCTTCACTCTGTTTTTTTTTCTCCTTACCTTTCTTCTTGCTCTGTTTTCATTTTCTTGATTTGATTCAATTCGATTCGATTTCTGTCTCATTTTGATGGGTTTTCCTTCAATTTTCTTGGGTTGTGATCTGTTTTCGATTACACAAAAAAAAAATCAAAACTTTTTGCTTATCTTATTTAAAATTTTCTAGTGAAAATTCTACCCAGAATTCATGGATCTGGAATATAATATCTAAAGCTCAAATCTTTACCTTTTGCAGCTTCTCTAATTGCGTTTCTTTCTATTTACAGGGATCTTTAAGAATTTTAGCTAAAAATGTCAATGCCACTGCAACGTGGCATCTCAGGAGGAGTACGAGTCTCTAACAGCAGTGATGATCTCAGAGACTCTCAAATGAAAGACAAGTCAGATAAGGAAACACGTTCCTCTGATCACTTAACCTTGAGGTTCCCTTTCGCTTTCCTCTTTAGTCAATCTCCTTCCAAAACTGGAGAAAACGGTTTTCCCACTGATCCTTACAGCGCAAGGAGCAGACACAAGTTGATGTTACTGTTTCTCAAGATCAGTTTGGTTCTAATTGTGATCCTTGCTCTAGCTGGTTCCTTCTGGTGGACGGTTTCTATCTCCACGTCATCAAGAGGTCATGTGTATCATAATTATAGGAGATTACAGGAGCAGCTTGTGTCAGATTTGTTGGATATTGGTGAGATCTCTGCTGGTCCCACTAGGTTGAAAGAGTTGGAGTATTGTAGTATAGAAGCTGAGAACTATGTCCCTTGCTTTAATGTCTCTGAGATTGGTGATGAGAATGATCGGTTTTGTGGGCCTGGATCGAAGCAGGAGTGTTTAGAGTTACCTCCTGTGGATTACAAGGTTCCTCTTAGGTGGCCTACTGGTAAAGATGTGATATGGTATCATAATGTTAAGATCACTGCTGATGAAGTGTTGACTTCTGGTAGTATCAACAAGAGGATGATGATGATGGATGATGATCAGATCTCTTTCCGTTCCGCGTCTCCTATGTTTGATGAGGTTGAAGATTATTCTCATCAGATTGCTCAGATGATTGGGATTAAGAATGATAACTTCATTGAAGCTGGTGTAAGTAATAAGTAGCTTCTTCTTAAATTTCTCTCTCTGTCTCAGTTTCTTATATGCTATTTTGTTTTTTTCAGGTGAGGACTATACTGGATATTGGATGTGGTTATGGTAGCTTTGGAGCACATCTGCTCTCTAAGCAGCTTTTGACTATGTGCATAGCAAACTATGAAGCATCTGGTAGTCAAGTTCAGCTAACACTTGAGAGGGGTTTACCTGCTATGATTGCTTCTTTTGTATCAACGCAGTTGCCATATCCTTCTCTTTCCTTTGATATGTTGCATTGCTCAACATGTGGCATTGATTGGGATAAGAAAGGTAACACTTAAGACTGATTATTCTCATTTTCTTGTACTCCCCTGGCCTTAATGTAAGTTTATAATCCTCTGTGTACAGATGGTCTTCTCCTTGTGGAAGTTGACAGGGTTTTGAAGCCAGGAGGCTACTTTGTTTGGACATCTCCACTCACAAACGCTCGTAACAAAGAGGATATAAAGAGATGGAACTTTGTTCATGATTTTGCTGAAAGCATCTGTTGGACTCTTCTATCTCAGCAAGACAAGACAGTTGTTTGGAAAAAGACAGTCAAAACCAAATGTTACAGTTCCAGGTCAGTAACACACTCTCACACACACACCATATTGTATTAAGTTTTCTTACATTAAATGTTCATGTTGCAATAAACAGGAAGCCTGGAGTGGGACCTTCTGTGTGTAGCAAAGGGCATGAAGTTGAGTCTCCGTATTACAGACCGCTTCAGATGTGTCTTGGTGGAACACGTAGCCGGAGATGGATTCCCATTGAAGCCAGGACAAGATGGCCTAGCCGGTCTAACATGAACAAGACTGAACTTTCACTATTTGGTTAGTCTCCTTCCTTAACAAAGTTCAAAGAGTCTCTGGGCAGTAACTAGGCGTTTATAGAAGATTACTGATTAGTAGTCTGATTTTTAGAACACTGTTCCTTACCATTACCTTCTGAATCCATCTTTTGTTGATCCCTGGGTTGTTTGGTTTGGTTTGGTTTGGTTCAGGTCTTCACCCGGAGGAGGTTGGAGAAGATGCAGCAAACTGGAAAGCAAACGTAAGAGACTACTGGTCTCTCTTATCTCCACTGATATTCTCTGATCACCCCAAAAGACCAGGCGATGAAGATCCATCTCCTCCTTATAACATGCTCAGAAACGTTTTGGACATGAATGCTCAATACGGTGGGCTAAACTCCGCCTTGTTGGAAGCTAAGAAGTCGGTTTGGGTGATGAATGTTGTCCCTACAGCTGGACCAAACCACCTTCCAATGATCCTTGACCGTGGCTTTGTTGGAGTCTTACACGACTGGTGAGTCATCATAACTCATAACTCAAAGTCTCTCATTTCTCGCTGCAGAGTAGTTTGCTCAATCTTTTGTTATATAACTTTTCAGGTGTGAAGCGTTCCCTACTTATCCAAGAACATATGATCTGGTTCATGCTGATAATCTTTTGTCGCTTCAGAGAAGTCAACGCAGAAGCTCATGCTCGCTTCTGCAAATATTGACAGAAATGGACAGAGTACTTCGTCCAGAGGTACTTTAGTTTTGAAAGAAGTAGATTATTTGTTTTTATGTAGAAATATAATAGAGAAGAAAACAACACTTGTGTGCAGGGATGGGTGATAATACGTGACATGGTGCAGCTTGTGGAAACGGCAAGAGCCTTGACAACGCAGTTGAAGTGGGAGGCTAGAGTTGTAGAGGTTGAAAGCAGTAGTGATCAGAGACTCCTCATTTGCCAAAAACCATTCACCAAGCGACAATCAATCTGAAACAAGAAGAAAGAGTAGTTTTATTTTTGTTCCAAGTCTCTCACAGTTTTGGAAGTAGTCACACAACTGTGGTGGCTATACCGGGAAGAAGAAAGGAGAAGGGAGATTGAATATATGGAGCCGGGGACGTAAGACCGCCGGTGAAAGTTTCTTTGTATGGTTTCATGAGTTCCCATTTTTATAGAATGTTACATGTTATATTTTACTTTGGGGTTACTATTTTTATTATATTACAGTGAAAAGAATATGATCCATATTTGTGAAGATGTTTGATGAAATATAAGTTGACAAACACTATTCAGTAGAATAGGACATGAATAGTGTTCTATGAGAGAGTATCATCTGTTTGCATTGGCCAATTCATAACATGTATAGAAAAGAGGAGATTTCAATGTGCCGGTGACTCTGCAGCTGTCTTTGATCACTTCACTGGCTCAGTGAACTGTTTGTTAAGGTAAATTAGCTTAGTGAGCAAGCTGGAGATCGTCTTGCAGCTAGTCCTCACCTGATGTTGATAACCCCAAGAATGTTGTAGTCTGCTCTTTGATCAGTGTACAGTTAGATAACAAGATCAGTTAGATTTGGTTAAGTCAGGGAAGCAAACAAGCATCGCCGCATAAGGAAGGTTGATAGTGTATGGTTTTGCTTACTGCTTTCACACCTTGTCCAACGCTGAGAGATTTGGCTATAACTGACCATTATGTGAACTTATTATGTGAGTCAGTCATGTTTTTTTGTACCAAGTTTCTTGGCATGTAGGATAGATATTAATTTACGATATATGGCAGTGTTTGGTCATATCATGTATTAGTAGTGTTCCAGCAAATTTGGTTGGCATTGGCTTTGATATTTCTCGATTTTAACATAATATACATCATTGGAATGATTATGTTACAGTTTTTAAGACGACGAGGGTAACTGGCCCATGGAACTCGGATTGGATAGTGTCTTAAAAACTAATCTATACGCCATATAGACTCCTAAAACATGGATTTGAGTTGGGTTCATAACGTGTGATCCATATTCTCATCATTTCATTTCTAAAAAGATGCTGAACTAGTAATGTAATTTTTTTTTTGTCAAGAACTAGTAATGTAATTACCTATATAGTTTCCAAAGGAGAAAACCTTTGACAAAATAGATAAATGAATCTTTTAAAAGCTTGTAAAATATTTGGAAGAACAAGATGATACATGTACCAAAGAGAAGGATAATATTTGCAGAGAATAATAACTCTGCAAATTGGAGAACCCCTCTCATGATGGAATTTGTTATATGCCTCCAGAACAAAGCTAACAAGTATAGATCTTGCTGCTGAAAGAAGAGGCAAATCTTCCATGAACTTTAAAAAATAAATCAACCCAAAAGCTAACAAAGAAAAACCCTATTTGATTAATCTTTCATCAAATATATAAACAAAAACTCAGAAATCATCTGAAACTATAGAACAAGAACATTGTAACAGGAGTATTAGACGCTTGCGCTTGAATATGGAAGATGAAGGATAGCCTTTGATATATATATAGAGACGGCCACTAGCTTTCTGCTTCTAAAAACCCTACTTCTTGTCCTAATTTAGTATAACGTTTTATTGGGCCGTAATGGGCCTCCGTTCAGGCCTTTTAATAAAAAAAAATTTGGAAGCCTGCTTTATCCCTTTTGATATTATACATGTTTCGTTGCATCTTGGTTTTTCTCCCCACCTGTGAACAATATTATTTATAGAGATCTTCTCTGGTTCACCTGATTCTGTGTCTGATCATATTAGCTTTATTTTAGTTTCAGCTTTAATTACACACATCCTATCACGCATCGCGTGGTCTGCTGCTATTGAACCATAACCAAACAACTTGGTCTTTAAACAAATTTATAATTAATACTATCATGCTTGTCAGACACATGAGATTGTACGTGTTTAGTTGACATTGTATTGGACTTATAACATTTCATGTACGTGTTATTTCAAGTACAATTCAATTCAAATACTATTAGGTTGCGAGATCTAAAGCATGAACAAAGAGAAATTAAAGGATATATCCTTCATGGAAGTATAGAATATACATCCTTATCTAATCTACGGCTCATATTATTCGGTACGAACATTGTATATAATAATTCTGAAGAGACTAGCATAGGAACCTAAGCAAATTTGCTGGTTTAAGTAGTTTTGTAGAGCTGTGTTCACAGTGCCGGTCCTAGGATTTCATAGGACTCGAACCATGGTTCATGTTGGCCATAGGACCGAATCATGGTTTATGTCGCAGGAGAGATAAGCTGTTTAACCACTACACTAAAGACAACTTTTGACAAATGTGGCCGGTTATTTTGATATATATTTGCGGCCGGAAGCCCATGCTTCTTTTGGTTGGGCCCATGGCCGGTTCTGTGTGATCATCATGTGGATGCATGAACTTGCAGTTGGGACAAACAGGAGTTGATATGCACAGCATGACCAGCATGTGGCATTTCATGCACACTCTTGTTACCATCTCTTGCTCCGTGTGATCAACATCATCATCATCATCACCACCTTCAAACGCAAGCCAAGGCAGTGATCGGTTTAGTCCCGTCCCGGTTGTGGTCGGGTTTGTTAAGTTTGATGATGACACGGTCTGGTTGTGATTTGATGATCCGTCTATCTTTGTGGTGATTCTTGAAGGTGAAAGGTTCAGCTCAAGGTCTAGGCTCATCTTAGGTTGTTCAACAACCACCGAAGTATTATGGTCATATTTCTATATACAGATCAAGTTGCAATTCACGAAATAAATGATTATAGATATATGATCATACTAGTGTTGCAATACATTATACAAGTTACCCATGTTTATTTTTTTTAATTTTGGAATTGAACAATTCGTGCCTTGTTATTTATTTATTCTTTCCCACAACCACGACTGAAAACCAAAACCAAGTGTTGAGAGAGCAATTAATAAACAAGAATGAAGCTATGATTGGTCGGACCTAGCCATCCAACTTGGGCTAGATTAATCAGATTTAAACAAAAAAGCACATCTTAATGTGTAAAAATGATTTATATGAGCTGGGAACATTTAAATGTCTAACGTTACACAAATGGGCCTTTTTTAATCTCTCTTTCTCATTAATATGAGACAAACCAAATAAATGTATCTAATCGGATAGTCAACTTAATTACTTTTCATATGGTAAAAGGGAATCAATTAGTGGACAAGAGTTAAGGCAATGGCTATGAGACATTCGTTAAGACACGTTAATAGAATAAAGTCTGGTATATTTTTTTTGTTGTTATTTTCAAATGTAATTTTTTGGAAGTGAGGTGAATACATATTGTTGGAAGAATATTAAGATAAATGTACCAAAGAGAAGGAAAATATTTGCAGAGAAAAATTACTCTGCAAATTAGAAAATCCCTCTCATGATGGCGAATTGATATGTGCCTCCAGAACAAAGCTAACAAGTATAGATCTTGCTGCTGAAAGAAGAGGCATTTTTCTTCCATACAAAAAAAAAAAAAAACCCACACCAACCAAGAAGAGAAAATACCCTAATTTTTTGCTAAGGAAATACCCTAGTTTATCAACTCAGAAACATGTGAAGTCATCAAAACAAGAACTAATCAGCTGTGAGATAGTGTCTATCATGACTTAATAGCAGTAATATTTATACAGAGGCGGCTTCTAGTGTCCTACTTTAAAAAACCCTAATGTTCCTTGTGTAACGCCTAATGAACTTCTTTAATAAAGCCCAAATTATTTTTAAGCCTGCTTAATACTCAAGTTAATCTAAAATTTTAAATTATTCAATAAGAATTTTATTCAAAGATCAAACCGGGTGAAGTAACCGGTTTTCTTACAACATGAAATTAGCAGAGACAAAACAACAACAAAACAAAACAGAAGAAACAACAAATACAAAATAAGAAACAACAAAAGAAACAATGAGCTCTTCGTGTCTGGATCTAAGATCACATTCACAAGAGATTATTCATGAGAACGAACAAAGCTTAGGGACGAAAAACAACAACAGCTTCTTGAAATTACAGACCCATCACAGTCACTTCTTCAATAGATTCCTCGAGAAAATCCTTTTGCAATAAGGATTATTACGCAGTATCGAATGTGGTCTTATGACTTCCACTAGCGAAGCATGAAGTGGACCCTGTTAATATATATGTTCAATCCCGTTCTAAATTCGTTCTAACCAAACCAAACCAAAATTAATCTGACTTGGTACGTAAAGTTTGTAGTACATATATACCTTAGTGGCAGCAAGAGCGGCTTGGATGACGAAGTTAGCGTAAGGGTCTTGAAGAAGATGATCAAAGTGAGGAACAGAGACAAGTTCACGTACAATCTGTGGACGACTCTCGGGACAATGCATGAGACATCTCTCCACCATGTGGCTACTGAACTTCTGCATGGAAAGCTGTACGTAATGCCCTTTTAACTGACTCAACATCATAGCTACCGCACCAGGAATCCTCAGTTCTATAACAAATTGTACTGCGTAGTTCCTACAAAAAAACATATCGATCATGCACAATGAACGTGCGTTTTTTTGTGGGTAATCAGTAATGAAAATGTATTTATTTACCCAAAGGGGTCTTGAGCAAGTAGGAGACTGTTTCTAGAGATTTCACCGATCAGCTTCTCTCGTTGTTGTCTCATTGAATAAGCAATGCATTTTTGGAGTACACAGCATCCATGTCTATGTGTTGCGATCTCAGTACAGTACTTTGTCGCTGCGTCAAAGATAAACTGTCCAAAACAAACAAACTCTAAGCTAATATATATACAATATTAGGGCTCTAATTTTTCTTTTTCAAGTTGAAATATATACATATTTAGAACTATTTTTTATATTTGTATAACTGTATTTCTTACGTAAAATATCATATAATAATTTCTTATATACCGTTGGTAAAAATAATAATTTTATACTAATTTTTTGTTGAAAATTATGTTTTGCTATTATAAATGTTTTTTCTTTAAAATTGGGGCTCCAAAAACTTTGAGCCTGCCCTAGATCTTGAGATCAAGACTCAAGAAGATAGTGATCTGACCTTGTTATCTTCAGTGCTAAGGCATTGCAAGCAACGTTGAATCACATGGTTACCATTTAAATCCTTGATCAAGTCAAGAAAGCCAGGTCTAAGCGCAGACTTCACCAGAGACACTTGTTTTCCTGTCTTGATTGTTTCCACTAACCTCTGAACAACACGAGTACTACCAACACACAAAAGATCATAATACATCCATAATCAAAACGTGATAAAATTAAAAAGGTAACAAATGGTTTTTTATGTGTGTTTATACCCGTATGCGTTGAGAGATATCCTGATAAGTTGACCAGGCTCAGCAGTAACCACAAGGACAATCTGCGTCCTTTGTTCTTCATTACAAACATCTAAAAGCTTCTGCATCAAGTAGTTCCCGAAAGGATCCATCATAAGCTCAACGACATGAGCTATAACCTCATTGAATATAACCATGGCGTCAACAGGTGTTCCTTCATCGAATATCCTCTGCAAGAATCTACATCCATGTTGATCTTTAGCCATCAAGTAAACATATCCCTGAACGTCACACACGTTAGGTAGACTAGTGTTTCCTTGTTCAGAGATCAATGCTCCAGTTCTCTGATGATCCAAGCTAAATGGTTGATCAGAGCCTTTAGAAGCTTCTTGGCAGAACAATGGAGACATGTCTGTTCTGTAGTAAGATGAATGTTCTCTTACTCCTCCTCCTCCATTGGTGTAAGGACTGTTATTACCAACGTTACTGCTTAAGTAGCTAGGCCAACCGAACTGGCTAGAGTTGGATAAGGAATCATGAGTTTGGTTCCCAAACATGTTTCTCTTGTCGTAGTCGGAATCTTGATTGTTGTTCAACCATGAAAAGCCTCCGGAGACAAACCCATGAGTCTCTGTCTCCTCGGTGATTTTCATGCGGTAGAGATCTTCGCATAGACCGGAAGGATCATCACCATGAACACTCTTCTCATGATCTTTATGAAACAGTGGCTCATGATGATAAGTGGCGTGGTTGGGGATAGGGATGATCCCGTTAAAAGGAGGTGAAGCAAAGGGAGAAGAAGAACTATCATCGGAGGAGCAGAACCCATTAGAGAAGGAACTCGAGAGAGAATAGTCCGAAGACGAGTTTAAGGAGAAATCTCCATGAAAGTAGTTTTGTCGGAGAAGACTTAAGTTAGGTGATTGAGACGGTGTGCGTAGAGGAGGAGACGAGGAAACATAAGTTTCTCGAAACTCACTCATCTTGCAATAAAAGAGACGTAGGAGGAAGATAGACGACAACGTTGGCTAGTTTAGTTTGGTCTCTCTTTACTGTAAAAACATGTTTTTTATCCACTAAAAATGTAAGTGAAAGGTTGAAAACTACACAGTAGTTAAAGAAGAGGAGGAGGTAGAGAGAGTGAAAAGAAAATTATTTTTCAAAGAAATAATAATAAACGTATATATCTCCTTAATTATCTGTTTTAGCGTTATAATCGTTCTCTACTTACTAAGTAACAGATTTTGATCTAATGACTAAATCAAACAGTTACAGATTTAGAATAAAATCTTCTATAAATGATCTTTTAAGGTTTTGAATCGGTCAAACTTACTTTATTCTAAAGTTTATTTAATTAAGGCAATATTGACTATGGTCTATGGGTATAATACAGAACATAACTTATAGTCTTTCCATTTCACTTTATTTGTTGTTTTAAGTTTTTACACATAGATTCAAAAATATTTAATTTATATATTTTTAAAATACAAACATAGTTATTTATACAATTAATCACTTTTCAATCAATAAAAAATAGAATAAAATATAAATTTAATAAATTTGTATTAAAATTATAAAATGATACTTATTTTAAAACATTTTTTTTTCTACAACCAAGTGAGTATATGAGATTTATTCTTAAACAAAACTATGTTGTGAATATTAATGTAATGTACCTTGTACATTCATATTTATAGTTATCTTGATGTAAAGCTCAAATAATTCTAGTGTGTTTTTTTTTTAACATAAAACAATAATTCTAGTGTGTTACATATCAGAAAATGTAAAAATATTTGCTATGTCACCTTTTGATAAAACTAAATTATTCTTTTTATCACTAATTAGCATCCGCAGTAAGCTCCAGTTCTCAAAGGCACATGTTGAATAAGTCCATTTGATTGAAGTGCCATTCAAACTTCTTTAAAGTATAATTATCACCAAGTGATGGATAAACCCTACGAATACAATCATAACATCTGATATAATATATAGTATATATTTTATATAAAACTCTAAAGAAAAAGAAATACAGAATAAATAAAAGCAAATAGAGATATCAAAGTGACTTGGTTTTCAAAACACGACTGTGATGCGTGGAGGCCAACAAGAGGTGTCTTCAACTTCTTGGAAACTACTACTACTACTCTTTCCTATTTTTAGACCTAAAGCATCTTATCCTCTTTTTGCAAAGTAGCAAAAAGCATCTACTCTTCTCTTCATTTTCCAACAAACTCGTCATGTTTTGAGGTTTATTTTATTTTTTAGATAGCTCTTGTTGCGTTGTGTAAATGCTACTCCACAATGCGTCACATAATAACTTAATGTTCTAAAGATAAACAAATAGCTTTTGTCTCAAGCAACATCCTCTGCCCTTTTAACAATACTAACAGTTTAGAGCTTGTTAAGTATATTAGAAAAGCCCTAAGACCTTTAAAACACACAACTGAATAATAGTTATTATATCACCATAACCAAATAAAACCAACGAAACTTCATAATACAAATCACACTTTTTGACCTGAAGCGTTATGAGAGATACCAACAAGAACAAACACACCGATAAATTTTTAAAAGAGTTAATACGTTACTGTAAAAGAAAAAAGAGGATTCTAAACGAGAGCAATGCTTGTCTCACCACCTGGTGGTTTACGAACACCACCTAGATAGTCTCTGGACTCTACCTTCCCATCAGCAAATATATTGTTCCCTCCAATCTCCTTAAGCTTGGCTTCACTCAGCTGCTTCTCACCACAAGATGATGCAGCATCTCCTTTGAATATATCATTCCCTGAAAGCTCTGCAAACTTCTTGTCATAAATCTTCTTCGCTGTCTTCACAGAGTCTTCTTCACCAGACTGCAGAGTAGTTAACATATGAGAAGTACTTAGAGAGATGTCAAGAAAGCACACAAGGGAAAGGGTCTTACGGTTTGAGATTCAGCTCCGAGGTTGAAGTTGTCCTTAAGAGCTAAAGCTCGAGTGTTTCCAGACCGTGGTTTGATCTCAGGAGGTGGTGCGAAGATGTTCTGTCCACTGATCTCTTTGTACTTAGCATCAGAGAGCTGCTTCTTCAGATTAGAAGCTGATTCGCTCTCCATAGTCCCACTAAGCTCTCGCTGTTTAGCAACTTCAGGTAGAGTAATAGGCTTTTTAGGAGATAAGTCCTCTTCTTCACCAAATGATATATGGCTTATACCACTAAGTGCTTGCTGTGAAAGGTTTAGATAAAATGTTAACATTACAGAACAAAGCTCTTCAAAAAAACATGAAGTTGATTAATTAATACCTGATATACTCTTCCACTTGGAGCACTAGAGAGCTCTGAAGCATCATCTTCTTGGTTACGAGAGAAGATCCCACTCCCAGTTATCTCCTTCATCTTATGTTCTGAGCAAGGCTTCCTGATCCAAGACAAACCAACAATTTCACAAGTTTGGCATCAACTATACAATGAATCTCAGGGACATCTAATAGCATATACAAGTAAAGCAATTGAACATGATCCAAATCTAAAAAGAAAAAAAAAACTTAAAATATTCTAAAATATATACATAAGTTATGATATAAAACTTTAAAATTTTAGATTTTGCGGTTAAATTTATAGCTTATAATTTCAAGAAAAACGTCAAACAAGTAATTAACTTTTAAACTCTCACTTTGAATGTTTAGATATACTATTAAATTTAGAGTTTAAATTTCCAAAAATGTCAACAAGTATGTTCTTAATTTTTTAAAACTATTTCATTATTGTTGATGTTTTTGCACAAGGCCTAAAATTATTTGAGAGGGTACTGATGAATCTATACAATGCAAATCATCAAAAATCTTCAAAACAAGTCACACCCACAAGATGAATCAAAGGTTAACACTACAGATTCAAATAATTGGATAGAAACAAAATTAGAAACTTAAATTGAGAAGAAACCAAATTAGGAAACCATGATAAAGGAGGAAACTTTATTACCTTCTGTTCAAGCTCTCAACTTCTTCATCAGTGACTTGACCACCAAACACCACTTTGCTAACCCCATCAGATGGCTACAAAAAAACAGACAAAACCCATAAGAAAGAAACTAAAAAACAAGAGAGGAAAGCATAGAAAGTGTTGAGCTTTATGTGTACCTGGTGGGATCGAACGGCGGAGCGAGAAGCAGAGGAAGGAGAATCCGAGGGTGGAGCTTCAGACCAAGTGAGTAGATCTGCGGTTGATGTGTGTGGTTTTCTCACTGGTGTGGTTCTCTCCATGTTTGGTTCTTCTTCTTTAGCAGAGAATCTAAAGTCTGATGCTTTGTGTTTTATTGTAGTAGAGAGGAAATGGAGGAAGAAGAAGATTACGCTTTACTTCTCTCTTTCTTCTCACAACCCCCCTTCAACTTCTTTCTCACTTATTTTTGAAGTGACGGTTTTACCCTTTTTCTTTGATCCACTCACTGTCTCGCTTGATCTGGAAGCTTCTTCTTTGGGCTGTTAAATTTGGTTCGAAATGGGCGGTCCCGTTTAGACTTGCCATGATACCAGATTCAATTTTTGAAAATAAAAAGTTATATAATATATATATATACTAACTGAAAATTATTTATATTATAGCAAGTACATTTTAAAATATATTATTTAAAGGTTTTTAAATTTTAAAAAGAGAAAAATTAATTCTTCATTATAATTTTCATGATAAGTGGATAATGAATAAATCTCAAAATAAAACATAATAAACAAGATTTTTAAGTGGTGATCATATAAGGAATGTTAACAAGTAGGACCGGTTCTGAGATTTCGGAGGCTTAATTTAACGATTTTAACTAATTTTTTTGTCGGATTTGGGGCCTAAATTTTTGTTTTCAAACACCTATATTTATGTAATTTTTTCTAAAGAATTTGGAAGCCTAAGACAAATGTTTCATCCGTTTTGGTTCATGACCGGCTCTCTAAACAAGTGTTAAAAAAATTATCAAATATTATTTTGACAATGATATTTTAAAAATTATTAGGTGTTTTATAGAGGATTATTGTTTAGATGGATGTCTAGACTGATTTTTAAAATGTTTAGACATAAATTTTAAAAATTCGGTTAAAAAGAATTGCTTTCATTGATAACCGATATAACCAATTTTTAGATTATGCTGCTGTTTAGATGTAGTATAAACTAATTTTTAGAACTACACCCATTTATAGAACAGTTGGAAAGTATATAATTAGCAGAAATGATTAAAAATAATTAACCGAGTTTGTTTTGGGGGAAAAGGAATAAGAAAGCACTAGAGTTATTCTTTACTCTGACACAACACCATGTGAAAGCCATCATAAAGACTTTTGCCAACGTTTTCTTAAAGCAGAGATCACGTGCTGTCACGTTTTTATTAGCTCGCCAAATCCAATTTTGAAAATTTAAGGTTAGAACTGTCATTCAAAAAAAGCCGAAATTTTATCCTTTAATTTGAAATTATTATCCGCAATTTATGACCCTGATTATTCGTAACAAATATTTAAATCGCACCAGAGATCCTTTGTTTAAACTTTACAATACGGATTCATTCAAAAGATTGCTTGATCTGATTACACTTACGCTATTAGAGAGGACTAAAAAGTCAATACTAACTCTTTCACAAATTAAAAACACACTAAGCCCAAAGCTTTGTCTAAGTAAAGGGCCTAAACTAAATTTTATTGGGCTTATTATTGGGCCTTTCTCTTTTTAAAATTTCCATTATTTAAATTTGTTTCAAATTCGATTCATAAGTTTTTTTGTGTGGTTCTGTTAGCTAAACTTCGTGCTCAATAAGCAGCCACGGAGGTTTGAAAAATGCCGATGACGGTTGTTACCGGTCAATTTTCGCCGGCGATTATCTCGATTGGCTCGCGGCTACCTTCCGTCAAATACGCCGCTCGAAGAGTCACTGCTCTCATCCCCAGATCAGCTCGAGCAGCTTCTGCTTCCATCTCCTTCGAGACGAACTCGAGTGTACGCTTTCTACATATTTATTGAGAATTTTGATAATATTAATTGAATCATAATTTGAATATATGTTTTTGTGTACACAGGTGGATTCTGTTGTGGAGAAAGAGAAGGACATTCTAGCTTGCCCTATCTGTTATAACGGATTAGTGTGAGTCATTACTGTTCACTTGAGAAGTTTAATTAATTAATGCTGAGTGTGTTAGTTATTGAGAAGGTTTGTATTATTATTTTTGGCTATTACAGAGGAGCTACTGCCTCTGGTACGAAGTTACAATGCAATACGTGTAAAAGGAGTTACTCTGGTAATGAGACGCATCTTGATTTGGCTGTGGCTAGTGGAAGCAATCAGTACACTGAACCAATGCCTCTTTCAACTGAGTTATTCAGGTGGACGATATGTTTTAGTGTTACACTCTAAACAGGGCCGGTCCTGAGATTTTAGGGAGTTATAGGCGATTTTATGAAAGATTTGAACTAATTTGTATTCTTTTATAAAATTGGGGGTTTAGAAATATTCTTTTGGGGGCATTTGTCTTTGTAATTTTTTTCAAAAATTTTAGGGACTTAAGGGCTTTAAGCCGAATGTTTTATTAGACTTGGTTCAGGATCGGCCCTTAGTCTAAGTCTATACTATTTCTAACTGAGTTTTTTTTGGTGTTGTTGATTTTTATAGGACTCCCTTAGTTTCATTTCTTTATGAGAGGGGTTGGCGTCAGAATTTCATATGGGGTGGGTTTCCTGGACCAGAGAAAGAGGTGAGACAACAAAAGAACTCTCTCCTTTTTTTTTTTGCAAAAGAGCACTGTTAACTTTGTATTCTACAGTTTGAAATGGCTAAAGACTACCTGAAGCCTGTATTGGGAGGGAATATCATTGACGCCAGTTGCGGAAGTGGGATGTTCTCTAGATTATTCGCTAAAAGTGAGCTGTTTTCTCGGGTGTTCGCTCTTGATTACTCCGAGAATATGCTAAGACAGTGCTATGAGTTCTTAAAACAAGAAGAAAGCCTTACTAACAAAGAGTTTGTACTTTTAAACTTATTCGTCCATTATTGTCATTTGGTAACACGATGTATTGTTTTTTTTTACTCTGCTGTTGCTTTTTGTTTAGGAAAGTTGTTTTGGTCCGAGCAGACATAGCTAGACTCCCTTTTGTTTCGGGTTCCGTTGACGCTGTCCATGCTGGTGCTGCTTTGCATTGCTGGCCTTCTCCATCCTCAGCTGTAAAACCCCTTTTATCTTAATTCAAACATTTAGCAACAAACAATGTTTATATTATCTTTGGTTCTTTTTAGGTTGCAGAGATAAGCCGTGTTCTTAGACCTGGGGGAGTGTTTGTTGCCACCACGTTCATCTATGATGGCCCTTTCAGCTTTATCCCCTTCTTGAAGAATCTTCGCCAGGTATGTATATATGTTACTTTAAGTTTTAAGCCTTGTTGGTGTGCTTTGTGGCTGATTATGCATTCCGGTGATAGGAACTAATGAGATACTCAGGCTCTCACATCTTTCTGAGTGAACGTGAGCTTGAAGAACTCTGTAAAGCCGGTGGACTCGTTGGCTTCACTCGTGTTAGAAACGGACTATTTATAATGCTCTCCGCCACAAAACCCACCAGATAAGCTCACCTTTTATGAATAGCTTTAATCCTTGAAAATATATACACAATCTTTCTCTTGTTGAAAATTTGGTATAAAGTTAAAGTTATGAACATTGTAAAGAACATAATATTGTAATATAAAGATCTTTGCAAATGTTTTCATCTGCTAGCTACTAAATTGGTTTCTTGTGAACACTGTATATCTCTAATTGAATTTTCCGGAAGCAGTTCACGCATCTCTGAATCTATAAAAGCTTCCATGCGAGCACGTTCTCTGTCTAGAGGATATGTACGGTAGAGAAAAGAGTAGATGAAGCAGCAAGCAGCCATTGGGATGCCTATAGATGTATAAAGAGCTTTTGCTAGCGACGCAGCGTTCTCTCTATCTGTTGCTATCTCTGCTGATCTTGATGAACCTTGAGGGATTGGTTTATATCCATACACATGCTGTGCCAAGATTCCAACTACAGGAGGAGCAAACGATGATAAGATGGACTCAAACGATTTGTCTAACGCGTAGACGCTTGTTCTTGACTTCTCTGGAACAATCTCTGCAAAGATAGGGCTGCAAGACAAAAAAGAGTGTTACAACTTACAAGTCTCAAGCGTAGTAGTGATAAAAAGAGTGTGTGTTTGTTTTACTTGTTGGTAGCAGGAGCATTCCAAGAAACAAAAAGACCTAATAGGACCAAGACCACACCATGGATCACACTTGTAGATGGATCATCTGGTAACACCAACAAGAGAATGGCAGCTAACGGGATCGCTGAAGCTGAGCTGATCTGAGCAAGAATGATTCTTCCTGAGTTAGGAAGACGAGTCGACAGATAATCTCCCATTTTCCCACCAAATAACCCACCAAGAGAAGACGCAGCCACGAATAGACCCATCAAGAAAGCAGTCTTCCCATGTGAGAACCCAATAAGCTCCAACCACATAGGTGCAAAAGACAAAGCAGACCAAGGAAACGACCCGGTCACTCCCTGAGCTACAATGATCTGAAAAGAACGAATCTTCACAACACTACCACTTTCCTTAACCAAATCCTTAACCTCAGAGCAAAAAGGTTTACTCAAAACTCGTTGAGTGTTAACACCATCCTTCACAAAGTGAGGATCATTCGCGAAGAGTCTCACTAACACACCGACTACAACACTAATCACACCAACGATATGAAAAGCAACTCTCCAACCAGGTACACCGAAGAAGCTCAAAGGAGCTATCAAAACAGAGCAGAGCCCACCTAAGATCGAACCAATGTTTGCTGTTAGCTGCAACCATCCAAAAGCAGAGCCACGGTTAGCATCATCCGTTGAGTCAGCAACAAGTGACTGAATCGCTGGAGCTACTAAAGCAAGACCAATCCCATTCAAAGCTCTCGACACTGCTACCTGCTCAAACCAGACATGACACAAACAGTTAAAAGTCTTTTTCACTAAACCCAAATATCAGACAAAAAGGAATCAGACATGACACAACAGTTAAAGTCTTTCACTAAACCCAAATATCAGACCAAAAGAAATCAGACATGACACAACAGTTAAAGTCTTTCACTAAACCCAAATATCAGACCAAAAGAAATCAGACATGACACAACAGTTAAAGTCTTTCACTAAACCCAAATATCAGAGACAGAAAAAAAAAGACAGAACCTGGAAGAAAGTGGAAGAGAAAGCGACAAGGAATGTTGCAGCGGACCAGAGGAAAGCACCAAGAGCAATGACGTGAGCTCTGTTATGTCTCATGGACATGTAAGCAGCTAAGGGATAGCAAATGGCTTGAACCATTGATCTCAACAGCGTTAAAGAACCGAGACCTGTTGGATCCGTGTGGAGAGCTTCACCGACTTCTTTGTATACACCTGGGAGGAGAGATTCGTCTGCTCTCTCCATTATTCCGGCTAGATTCACCAGAATCAGCGTCACCGTCTCTGCCTTCATCTTTCCTTAAAAAGACTTTTGACCTTTTTTGGTTTCTTCAAATCTGAATTTTGGGTTTTTGAGGGTTTTCTTATTCGTAACCGAAAGTGATAATCTTGGAATGGGAATGATCAATGTTGACGGTGAGAAGTGAACAGTCAATGACGTCGATGGTTGCACACGGTGGCGCGTGGAAATGGTCAAAGGATGTTGTAATGAAAATTCTTGAAATAGGCCCCACTGCTGACGTGTATAAAACTGATGCATATTGTGTGATATAGGTTATTTATATGGGCTTTGGCCCATTAGTTTCATAACTGGTTCATATTTTGAAGTATAAACCATTTATGAATCCGGTTTAAAGGAATCGGTTCGGATTTGATTGTCTTTGACTTGTTTTGCTAAATTAGGTCTCACTTTTATTTGGTCATTTTCTTGTTTTAGGGTTGAAATTGTATCCTACCAGTACTATATCGCAAAATGAACAAAGAAGATGATGTAGGAGACTTTGTTTAGAGACATTTTATATTGATCTTCTTTTTTTTGGTGCAACCAGATATTTTATATTGATCATATATGTATAGTTTGTTTTTTTTCTTGGGATCAAACCTATACTCTTGACTTATACCAATCATGAGGTATTTTCTCCATGAATTATATCTTGAATCCTCGATTATTGTCCATTATAATTGGATGGCGTCATTTGAGTATAATGTCATGATATGATAAAAAACAATATGATCCATTTATTGACCTCCTCAATGGTATATGCACCTAACGTATGATCAATCAAACACAATATACAAAAAAAGAATCTAGTAAACATAATATATAAACCTGTACATATTTGCAGCATTACATTATAAACGTCGTGATAAAAACACACGAAACAAACAAAGAAAATACAAACCATTTGAGTTACCCTGGAAATTCAAGAAGCCCCCAAAAAATCAAAACTAATTACCATATAATGAAAATAATAGTAAAAAGCTTAAGTAACCGTATAACTGGCAAAAAAACCTAGCTTTTCCAGCTACGACACCGAGACAAAGGATCTTGAACTCCTCCGACAACCCAAGTTTCCTTAGCTATGTCTGAAGATAGTCTGTAATAATCAGTATCGTATCTCATCAACACTAACTCCATCTTCTCTTCCTCCATCAGTGATCTCAAATCCTTCTTATTCTTGCTCACACTAACCTCTTCTTCTTTGCTATCTTCCTCTGTTTTCACTTGCATTCTCTCTTCTAACCAACTCTTCGCCGGAGCCGATCTACACCTCATCAGCAAAAGCGCGTTCGACGGCGGAACAACCGCTTCCACGTCAGAGTTTTCATCAACGACGCACTTCTTGATGTTCTTGACGTCCTCGTCGTTGTTGCTCTCTTCCTCTTGTAAAACCATAAACCATTTAGAGAAAACATTCTTTGTATTCTCATCTTCTTCTACGTCTTCTTCATCGTCGTCGCTAGTGATGACATCATCATGTCTGAACTCACCAAAACATCTGAAGTCGAACTTTATATTCTTTAGACAAGTCAAGAAACCCATCAGTTCTTTCTTTAATCCAAGAAACTTGCTCTTAGACTTATTGTTATGTATCCTCTCTATCTCCTCCATCACCGTTTGCCAGTTCTTTCCTTTCCCGCCGCATTTTCTTGGCCGGACTTTGATCTGACCAGCGCAAGTGACTTTAGGTGAAGTTGGTTCGGTTATTTCTTCACCGCCTATGTTTTTACTGCTTGCTTGTTTAGCCCACAAGGCAGGACTCCCATGTCCTCCTCCTCCACCGCTGCTGGAGAGTTTGCTGAGCTGGCGACGGTGGTGGGGATGACGGTTAGTGGAGATGGAGATGGAGGGACGAGAGGGGCTACAAATGGGTTTAGGTGTAAGAGCTAAGTGGGCTCTTGAAGGGAAACATACCAACAAATCTGCAGGGTAGCTAGAAGTAGATGATCTTCTGTTTCCATCTCTGCCTTTGATCATCTCTTTTGTTTCTTTGTCTGCCTTTGTTTTTTTTCGGGTTTGGTTTTTGGATGAGTTCAGCTTTTTTATGTTTGGATTTATAAAGTTTTCTTTTTAGGCTTTGAAATTCTTGTGCTGACAGCTTCTACATGCTTTTTGCTTTGTGGGCAAAAAAGTTTTTTTTTTTCATTGAAATCTTTCTCTCTAAAAAAGGTGAAAAAATCTCTTGTCTATGTAAAATTTTGTATTTAATAAATAAAAATTCTTGTAAAATTGGTGGACAAATAAGAAGAGAAGTGATGGGGTCAAAGGAGTGAAATGGTTTTCATTACAACTTTATTCATCGTAAAGAAGAAGCTTCTTGACTGAATCATTTACTTTCAAACATTCAATGGTCTTTACCACTTCTTCTTCATACATTTGTTTATCATTTCGCTTTGAGTTTTATGCCAATATCATATTTTGATGGGTTTGTATTTATAATTTTATATGGTGAGTTTGAGGACTTACCATATAATGCAATAAAAACCAATCTAGATTTTATTAGACCCAGTTACAAAAATAGAAGAAGAATGCATATTGCCCATAATAAATTGATCCATATGCAGATTTCAAAAGGGTTTTCTGGTGATTTTATATCACAATTTTACTGTGTGTACATATACATTCATAATCATAGATGAAAATAATTTACTATTATTACTAAAAGAAAAAAAAAAAAGAAAAAGTTATAGTCATAAAATGTGAATGTGACAAGGGTGATGATGGGTTATAGTCGAAATGCTTCAATAGATTAAAGTTGGAAAGGTTTCGTGGACTTTACTTTTGCAAATTCAGTATAAATTCATAATATTTATATGAATCTATAGAAAAAGAAAGAATAGTATAAAGATTGGAAAGGCACGAGGCTTGTTTCTTAATCCAATGGTAGTCCCAAGCTGTGTGGTCACACTTCCCTTTGTTGTTGTTTATCTTCAACCACACACTTATCAATTTTCATTTGCTATCTCCCAGTTTAAACTATCTTCTAACTATATCACCAAACCTTAGCACCAAATGACAATGAAATGTAGGAGTGCAAACTCTTTTTAGGGATGTGAATGATGTGATATGAGGGTGATGTGATAAAGAAATTAGAATAGTTCAAACTGAAGTTATTGTGGCATGGGACGTGAATTATTTGATATAATTGTTTCACAATGGAAATTAAAATCATCTTCGACGAAATGTTTAGGAAAACTAGGAAAAAAGCTGTGGTTCCTTTTTAAATAGTTTTGTCTTTTTCTAGTATTCTGCAATCTCAACATTTAAATAATCGAAAAATTTATGGTAAGTTTTAAAGCAAACTTCATCAAATAAGTTCAATGTTATTTGTTTAGAGAATAAAACCACATATATAGAAAAGAACAAAACTTGGGTTCACCCCCTGTGGTGAATTTTATAATTCACCTCAACTCTTAGGACCAATTATTGTGCCATGTAGGATTAATAATAAAGAGAAAAAAAAACTGAAAAAAAAGGAAAATAGGTAAAAAGAAAAGACGTCGCTGTTAACGCCGTCCATCGGCTTCCTCTTCTTCCTCGCCACAGAAAATACATNAAAAGAACAAAACTTGGGTTCACCCCCTGTGGTGAATTTTATAATTCACCTCAACTCTTAGGACCAATTATTGTGCCATGTAGGATTAATAATAAAGAGAAAAAAAAACTGAAAAAAAAGGAAAATAGGTAAAAAGAAAAGACGTCGCTGTTAACGCCGTCCATCGGCTTCCTCTTCTTCCTCGCCACAGAAAATACATAAAGTCACTTGAGAATAAATTTGGAGAAGGTGGATCTGCTGCAGTTTATAAGGTGTCTTTGAGAAGGTAGCAACGAAATTGTATTTGAAAGTATAGAATTAGAGACTCCAACTTGACAAACAAAGCTTTATGTATTTTCTGTGAAAACAAAAGACGTCACCATTAACAAGGAAGAGAACGTCTTTTGTTTACCTTGAACAATGATTTATCTCTTCATTCACGATTGTGAAAACAAAAGACGTCACCGTTAACAAGGAAGAGAACGTGTGTTTTGATAAATCTCTTAGGTTTTGAGCTTCACATTCACGATTGAAGCTGATTTTGTCACCAAAGAGTTTGTATCGTACAATACGTAGCTCTATTCTCTTTTATCCTCTTTCATGTTAAGAACATCAATTATTTAGAATCTCCATTAAAGTAAGATATAGTTGTTCATTGTTATCCTAGGGTAATCTTTGACTGGAGTTTATATTTTGCTATATATTTGCAATAGAGACTAGTCATTTAAGTGGTCAAGAAACTGTTTTGCTAGTCAGAATAAAACAAGTTTGCAAGTCTTCAGTGAAACCAGCTTATTAAGTCAGAATTTTATGATCCAGTGGACACCACTAATGAGCCAATCTCAGTGCCTGCTACCCCAACTCTGTCAATTAAAAAGCAGCTTCAGAAATAGCACAATAAGTCTCAGAAGAAACCTGAAAGGATCACTAAGCCAAGGACTAAGAAAGTTAAAGAAGAGACAAAGAAGTCCACCAAAATACATGTTGCTAAAGAAGGTAATAAAATACATTGTCTTTAAAAAGCTTGTGTGGTTCATTTAACTTATGGTGCTAAATGTTTTTTTTCGTGTAGGTGCAGTAAAATCTCTGAAGCAAATGGAGAACAAAGAAAACTTTGTGAGTAAAATCTTCTTTAGAGGATCAAATCGCTTCTATATCTAAAAGAGACTAACACGAGCTTGCCTCACTGCAGGTTGTTGTTGTTGGTGCAGGAGAAGAAGTCCAGGTATGAGTGAAGAACAGAGAAGCGTTTCTTCACATATCAATCAACTCCTCTCTTTTTCTTTTGGTTTGAATGCAAAAATACAACAAATGTTTTATTTGTTTTGTTTTGTTTTGTAATTGTGTTATGTTTTTTTCCCTCCCTGTAATTGTGTTAAACAAACAAAGCTTTATGTATTTTCTGTGGCGAGGAAGAAGAGGAAGCCGATGGACGCCGTTAACAGCGACGTCTTTTCTTTTTACCTATTTTCCTTTTTTTCAGTTTTATTTCTCTTTATTATTAATCCTACATGGCACAATGATTGGTCCTAAGAGTTGAGGTGAATTATAAAATTCACCACAGGGGGTGAACCCAAGTTTTGTTCNAGCTTTATGTATTTTCTGTGGCGAGGAAGAAGAGGAAGCCGATGGACGCCGTTAACAGCGACGTCTTTTCTTTTTACCTATTTTCCTTTTTTTCAGTTTTATTTCTCTTTATTATTAATCCTACATGGCACAATGATTGGTCCTAAGAGTTGAGGTGAATTATAAAATTCACCACAGGGGGTGAACCCAAGTTTTGTTCTATAGAAAAACTTTAAGCTACTCTTTTAAACCATTTTTATAGTGAACTTAACCACACAATTTTCCATAAAACCCTTATGTAGTAGCATTCTAATTCTTAACCTGAAACGTTATCAAACGTCGCACGTTATTTCTGCTTTCTCTCTTTATGCTTAGATGCTTCTTCTCTTAATGCAGTTACGTCTGTCATTTGTTTGCATGATTTAGACAAGTTTTATATATTGAATAGGAGAGTTTCGTTTTTTGGGGTCTTGTTCTTCATTACTTTTCACAATTAGATTACGTATAAAACGAGGAAGTGATTCCATAATCTCCTAAACTTTGCTCTATACACAACATAGATTTAGTGTCATGCTTCTCATGCAACATAATCCGTCCTTAACTACTGAATATCACAGGTTCTGTTCTATTCTGTATAACGTGTGTCTTCTCGGCTTTGGATTGTAGCTCTGTTTCCATATTTAATTCAATATGGTTCCAGCATTTTTCATGATGCTCTTGCTTTATTCGTCAATGTATTATGCATAGCCAAACTGTGTATTGAACTCTAATGATCGTTGTAAATTCTTGTTGGTTGTATTAGATAATAGTGATAATACACTGTTATCCAAAACAACATGTTTTTTTTTGTAAGTCAAGTTCTTGGCCGTCACCAATTTGAGTAATGATGAAATTCGATTGTTGTCATTATAATTCACATGAAATGGGTAAGTCGGCCTGCTCGATTCCCCGCTTTTACTTTAGTCCACTTAAGTTTTGCCAATGGTGCGCTAATTGCGTTCATCAGGTGCACTATAGATGTGTTGAAAATGTATATGCACTTTGAGAAAATCAATATAAACTAACAGGCCCCAACAATCAAATAATTTAAAGGATGAAAAGAAAAGTTAGGTCTTGTTTATCATGATAAGTTGCATCAACCTAGAGGTAGGCCTTTAGCACTAGAAATCCAATTTTTCAAAAGGTAGTTATCAATTCCTGAAGAAAAAAACAATTATACTTAAGGAACATATTGTTTTCTTTAATTTTCAAAAATTAGAAGTTAAGTAGATGAAGATATAGTGTTTGCTTTAGTTGTACTCCTGAGAGCGACACTATTGAGATCATGTGGGTAGGGTTGGCCTTTGGCACTAACAGCCCCATTTGAAAAAGTTAGGCAATATACATTTTACTCCTTCTTCACGATCGAACTTAAGTATTCTCATTTTTTCTTTGTAAAATAACAATGAAACATATTTTAATTATAGGTAAACTGAATAAGTATTTTTGTAAACATATTCTTAAGTGAGACAAACACCATGACAAATTAGATAAAAGGACGCCTGATAATTATGAAAATTGTATTCCTTTAACACTTTTGGATTGAATCATCATTCAGAAGGTCACACCTATAGGCTATTGTTCACTCTCTAATATTTAAATAAGAGATATATAATCTGTTTAGTAATTTTAGTTTGATTTAAAGCACGAATGTTTGACATATAGCTAGGATCACATTCTTGTTTTGCTTTATAATTTTGATTAAGAAGTTGTATTAGTGACCTAATCAAATAACAATCGGTTTAAAATATCTGTTTGATCACGTTAGTGATGATACCACCAATGGTTAGTACATTAAACAATGCTTTCGTTATGATAGCAGTCCAGATCTTTTTATATAGATTTATATTGTCACGGAAGATCGATAAAAATATTGAAAACTCGAACTACAGCTCACATAACTTTAAACTTGAAAATAAGTAATTTAAATTATTTTTCCACATGTACCATTTTTAACGGGCCTGAGTGGGCTTAAACCAGATCCATTAGACTTGAATCTCGGCCCTCATCGCAATCTGCGTAACTATCTCGTCCGTTTATAGCAAAGTTACCTTTTAGAATAGATAACCACCGTCCGATCTCACAGATGCGACATGAAGTAAATCGACGGTTCAGATCTCTCGACCGTTATAGCAAACTTACCGTTTAAAATAGATAACCACCGTCCGATCTCACAGATGCGACGTGGAGAAAAGCAACGGTTTAGATCTCTCGACCGTTATACAATCTTACCGTTTAGAATAGATAAACACCGTCCGATCTCATAAATACAATCAACGGTTCAGATCTTTCGACCGTTTATAGCAACTCATTTCTCCTATATATATCCCTCCCACTCTCACTAGATTTTGCAACTAAATCTGCTTCCAAGTAACTTCAGCTTCTTTTTTTTTCTATCTTTTTCTAAAAAAATGAGTTTTTTCTTAGTCTCTTTATTTTAGTTTGAGATCTTCTCATCTTGATCTGGATCTTTGATTTTCTTTCTTCTAGCAACTCTAAGGTTCACTCACAGCTATAGTAAACCGACAATGATGAAATCTCAAGCTTGTTCTGTTCTTCTTCAGTTTGTCTCCAACCACCAAAACTCTCCTCTGAGCTCTCAAAGTGACCACGTTGCAGCTACAGCCAGCCACATTGTAAATCAACTCATAACCGATTTTTTATATAATTTTTATTTATTTAATATGGTAATTAATGTTGAATTAAATTGCATGCAGGCTTTGAGGTTCTTTATGACCTCGAATCTAACGGTGGGAGGTCTAAACAGCCTGCAATTTAATTTTAGATTCGATGGATGACAAGGAGTTCACGTCGAGTCCCTTCATATCACTGCTCCGCCCGTTAAGTCCCATCACTAACGGCGTCCACATCGAAAACTCTAACTCCGTTTCCATCTACAGCTCCGTCAATTCCTAAGGTATTCACAAAATGTTATTTATTTATTTATATTTCGTCACAAAAAGTTAAAAAATCCATTACCACTAAAATTTTCAAAAACTATAGCCATCGAAAAATATAACTTCTTTTTGTGATAAATTTATTGTGTTTTTCAAACTAGATAGTAAAATTGGTGGATTCAAAGTTATTTATTTATATTTTGTCACAAAAAGTTAAAAAAAATCCATTAGATAAAAAGTTCAAAAATGGTAGCCATCGAAAAATATAATTTATTTTTGTGACAAAATTTATTGTGTTTTTCAAATTAGATAGTAAAAATTGGTGGATTTAAAGGGTCAAACAGGCTATGTAATTTGTTTATAATTAAAATTGGCATAAAACAGAACTAAAGGGGAATGATTGTCTATATAATTAAAGTCCTGCTTCCATTTTGCAGGAGATTATTCAATATGATAACTAATGGTGAATTAAATTGTTTGCAGGTTTTGAAGTTCTTTATGAGCCCGAGTCTAAGGGTGGAAGGTCTAAACCTGCTTGTTCTTCTTCTCCGGTGACTATAACGTTGACACCATGTAAAGGATCTGACAAGTCCTCGGCATGACGAGTCCTCTGAGCTCAAGGTACTTTGTTTGTTAATCGTTTTTTTTTCTCAGAATATTTTTAAAACATGATTTTAGGGAGAATTTTATATAGCATGATTGATTATGGGTAAATTTGTGAAAACAATAGATCAAAGTGTCCAGTTTGTAAGAGGTATGTATGTTCATTTGGTCTCACATAAAGTCACTTAGTTTCCCTATATCGATCTGCAATTATAAAAATTTTCCTTCCTTTTTAATTTTTTTTAAGGGAAAATTTTATAACTTGATTTATCATGAAAATATGGTGTAAATTTGTGGACAACAAAATAGAGTAGAATGCCCTGTCATTATGTTGTCCGTTAGAGGTATGTTTTATTTGGATTAACACTTATGAAGACTAACTTAAGTGATGAAACAGTTATATCATTTTCCCTTATTTTTTCTTTTGTTGTTGTTTCTTTTCTTGCTCGTTTCTAGGCAAGGATCGGTTGTCTCTCGCATGACATTTTTTTATAGAATGAAGAAAGTGGAATTAAAATTTGATCAGGAGTTGCTGGATATATGAAGTTCTAGTATAAGTAGAGAACTGACAAATCTATATATATAAAAAAAACAACACTATCTAAAGATAATAGCTGGTGAAGCTAATATTCAACCATTCAATAATAAGATAAATAACTGGTGAAGCTAATATTCAATCTAGTATAAGTAGACGTTTAAGTATCACTGTTTTATCACGGATGTGTATAAAAAAACTAAGTCAATTTTGACCGTTATCCAATTCACTTTCACCGTACTGATTTTTGTTGTTTTGAGACTACTTTTCATTAAATGTAAATATATTTTTTGTATCAGCAGCATGTTTAGACCAGAATTGGCTTAGAAAGATTTGAACTACAATGATGACCTCAACAACATTATCACGAAGCAATATCCTATACTATCTTGAGTTCATAGTATAAAATTTTAATTTATTTATCATTGCTTTAATATGTAAGCAGGAGGAGATGATATTAAGTTGGGACAGGTTGTACAAATGTACATTTTTGTATTCTGAATTACTGCACGAATAATGAGAGTTGTTGTGATAGAAATATCTTACTATGAGGCATAGTTATAACAATGGGTTAGAAAAAGTAATCAATTACGGTCATGGAGTTGATATGAATCTCCTTTAAACGATGTCCCGGTTGAGAAGGTTAAACATGAATTAAGTTTTTTTTTTTTTTAAAGATATGAATCTCTTTATTGGCTAAAGCAAGGAGTTAAAATGACAATAGCTATTGTGTTTATTTTCTTAAAAATGACAGGAATACTGATATACAAAATAATAGCTTGTAGTTTGATTCAACCTTTTAACCACAAAATGTAAAAGAAACAAATATTTATTAATGTCTACACAATAACTAGAATTTTTTTCTAGTTGTTTCAACTGTTAACCACACCAAAAAATAAAAACGGAACTAATCATGTGTTTAGACGGTGATATTACGATGCTTGGTCAATTGCTCTCAGTATTAGGGCTTTTTCTCACGCCGTTCGTTTCTTTGATTTCTCTTTTGAGCTCGAAACATTTTGGACTATAAGGCCTAGGGGAGAATCGACAACCTTTTCGCCTTAGATATTCCAATGTGATCAACTCATTTGATAGCCCGATATGTATGCAAATATTTATTATTTTATTGGCCCACTGGATATTAACAAGGCCTGTTAATTATTTTTTTTGGAAGATTTGTCACTTTTTTCCTTGTTAAACATATCTAATTTTCGCTTATAACATAGATATATAAAATAGCATTTGTATAAAATAAAAAGGGAACATGTTGTTCCTTGGTGATATATATTTTTTTTCATTTTATCTTATATTGTTTTTCCTTGGTTATGACACTCAACTTTCAATAATATTATAATGAACCATTAGTTTTATATATTCGTTATCCTATTTAATATTTCCTCCTTTTTCATATTTGACGATTTTAGAATTATACTCATAAAATATTTTTCATTTTCTAAACAAAACATCATTAATTGTTTATTTGACCAAAATTTAATCAATAATTAAAAAAATATAATATCATTGATCATCTAATATTAAATATTAATAAATTCTATATAAAAAAAAACTGAAAACATCAAATAATTTGAAACGATTTTTTTTCTTCTAAAAAGCTAAATATAAAAAACGGACTTATGATTGCAATGTTCTTAATTTAAATTGTTTGCTGGAATCTAGGAATATATTCAGAACTAGCTAGTATAAAAATAACTGGTAGAGCAATTTATAAGACCTAAGCAACTAACCCTATAACCCTAGCTTTAGCTTCTAAATTGCAGCCTTTCTCCAGTATCTTATAGTGCAAAGCTTCAAAAAATAATCTTATAATGCAAATAAGATAATAAAATTGTGCATAAGTACATCTACCCAAAGTTTAGTTTATTCCCATTGTTTTAAAACCTGAAAGCGGGTAATAATTGGGAGGAAACTAAATCTGCTCCCCGATCGAAGATCACTAATCACATGGTCTTAAAACTTAATCACCCAATTAAAACTAAACCTATATTTCTAGTGACTTAAATAATGTATAGTACACAAATTTCTCGAAGCTAAATGCCTACAACATGGGAGAAGCAAATTAAGAAGAGAGGGGAGGGGACCATTAGGTTGACAAGTGTATGCTTAGAAACCTGAATTATTGCCTAACTAAACATAATTAACTAATAATGAGAATCTGATTAATGGTCCCCGTTACCTTTTTAAGATGCGTGTTAGCTTTAATTTGTCCCTCATAGCTTTCACATGATGGAGTTTAACCTATAATTAGGGAATATAATACATTGATTATGCATTTAATATTTACGCATAAGCATACACATACATAGTTTTGAATTGATAATTATTAAATGGCTGGTATTAGTTTAGGGCACAACAAACAGTGAACCTGCTTGCTAGTTGTCACTGGATTTAGAATCATTTAGAACTATAAGCAACAAGAAAGACATAACATAGACTGTTTCCTTTTGCAAGCACACAAAAAGGTAACAAAACAAAACAAAAATGTTATATATTTAATTTGTTCTAAACTATATTATATGATATAAATTTTCATTGGTCTCAACTATTTCTGAGGATATATTTAGGATTTGGAGATTTCTCAACTATTTCTGAGGATATATTTAGGATTTGGAGATTTTAATTGGTCTCAACAACAAATATCATATCAACTAATAATGAGATTTTAATCTGGGACAGATCCAAAGAATAACACATGAATCCCATTGTTCATGTGCATAGTTTAGTGACTTGCTGATAGCTGTCACATAGAAACCAAGCTGTTTACTCTCTTTTTCTTTTCTTATGTATTTCCTAAATTATACATTTCCTTCTTTTTTACTTGTTGTCACCATCCAAGGCATATATTTATAAATACTGTCACATTTTTGTTCATTTTCTCTTTTTCTTATACAATGTATCTTATATGCTATATATAGCTTCCCATCAGCATCTGGATGAATAGATCTTTCACGAAAAGTTTTGTAAAACACGTCATCGAATGATTATTTATTGAGCTAAAATCACGAAAAGTGCAGTGTATATATTGATACAATTTACAGATATCCTATTTGGGTGTGATTCATAAGAACTGTAATGTTTATTAGTTAGAGTTAGGTGAAACTAGATTTAGGAAGATTTGATATCTCTGTTATATTTATTTGGTCAATTATAAAAACATATAATTGACAGTCATATTAAGAAAAAAGAATAGGCAGAAGCTACCGTAAAATCAAACTGGCAAATAGAGTTGATCCCAATAATTGGAGGAAATCGTACTTAATTTTTACCTCTTTATTTTCAAGTCGGATCACCAATGATGGTGTTTCTTCTTTAAATAATATCTCAAATAATTAAATATTAATATGGTAAATAAAAGTGAAGATACACACAGACTCAGTGGCTTTAGTTTCTTTACACGTATCGAGTCATGTCTTCTCGTACAATGTAAGCATGTTGGTTGTCCCACTTGAACTCCAAATATATATAAACATATTAGAAAAGGAAGGATTAGCTAGTGTAAAATAACAATAGTATATATGAGCCTTTTTTATATGTTTATTTTACATAAATTCAACCACTTTTAGTGGATTCCAACTCCTCATTCAACCTAAGTAGTGTTACTTTATAGCGGCTTTCCTTTTCACCACCTACCATTTGAAAATAACTCACTATTCCTTATATATACAAAATACATTATCATATGATGCATATCTTTTTGTTTAAATAATGAAAAGTTCCTTCAAAGGAGAAAACAAAAGAGACCTCACTTTCACTAGATTCCTCCTTCTGCCTTAATTTCTTCTTAGCGTATGTATACACAATTGTTAAAATTTCTTTCGACCTATTTGTAAAAATAAACAAACGTTATATGTAAATTCATAGTTTTATAACAATAATTTATCTACCAAATTGCCTTAAACACAGGATGTAATTTACATGGTGATATCCTAAACAATGAATTCATATTCATGTGATCATATTTGAAATTAATAATTTCGTATTGAAAGACATCGATCTCTAGTCTGTATCAACAACATAATTCATCATCTAGTGTAAATAGATCACTGTGGTTAAGTCTAATGTTTGTTTGAAGGTATAACAGCATATGGCCACATGAAAAAGTTGTATGTTTGAAAGAAATAAATTGAATACCTATTAACGAAAAGTGATAATTAAACAAGTCGGAAGTATTTAATTTCAATATGCGCATGCAATATTTATTTTTTGGAAGTCTGGTTCATATGCGCATGTATGCAATTGAATCTTGTTATTTCCCACTTGTAGAGCTTCCTTCCGTGGCTAGTAGTAAGCACTAAGGTCAGATCTATCATCTAGTTAAATCAATGATTTTGATTATATTATTTATACTGTATAACGGATTTTTTTTTAGTTATGATGGTTATTCACGCACACCAAATTTTCTAAAACATATATAGTGTCGTTTAGAATATTTAAACAGGTTTTATGCATCTCCCTTTAGTTTTCTCAGATATTGGAGACGATTAGTTTATTAGAAAAGTTACAATTAAACAATAGTTGTTTCAGTAATATTGCATGTTCTTGATCTGCATGCAACTTGTATTTAATGTTTTCATCTCCCTGCAGGTTGCCATAATAATTATTTGTTAAGTGTAGAAAGAATTTTTTATTTATTACTCCTTATCGCATTGTCAAGATCGCGCGAGTAACGTGTAACTGTTAAGCATTTTACATCTAAAATGTACGGATAAAGCCTAATGACGTCCTAGCTATCATAATCTATCATGAAAATCTGTATTTAGATACATATAAGTATTATAATGTTAAATATATATACAAGACCCGTTTGATAATTTTCTGTCTAAAACAAAACTAAATTTTGAATACATTTAAAATTCATTTTTAAAAATAACAGAAAATGCAAGTATTGACTCATCATTATACTATCACCAACTTTTGAATCTGGTATCCTTACATTTTAAAATAAATACTTAACGTTTAAAACACTAGTATATAAAAGGAACCAAGTATATATATATACATTAGATATATTGGACTCCAATTTAACTAGAGTTCCATTGCATTAATCTTCAAAATTATGTGTTCGTCTTTCGTTGAGAGATTTGTCAAAGTTCGAACTAGTCTATGAAATATTCAGTCGCTAACACGCGACATAAATGTTACAATGGCTCATAATAGATTATAGATAGTTTTGGCTTCTCATTTTTTAGATAAGAGATCATAATTAACATGCTAAATTAACCCATTCTCTGCGTCTATATACTACAGCATTATTTATAATGTTTTATCAAAAAACATATTCAAATTGAAAGCCTAAGTAACAAAAAAAAATATTCAAATTGTTTTGGTTAATTACTTTCTAGTGAAGACTGATGTGTCCATTTATGTATTTGGGCCACGGATGAATCTGACAACATCTTTATTTGTCTGTCAACATACATACCATAAATTATATATATATATATATATATATATTCATTTTATTTATTGCGATGGTAATGGAAAATACACTCTTCAATTTATACATATGCACAACAATGCAACATAAAAAAATG